TATATATATATATATATATGTGATGATTCCATAGTTAGTATATTTAAGCTCAAATAACCTTGTTCATTATTTAATTTAATCTTGCTTTGCTAGTTGGAATTCTGAAACTCCTATATATAAGCTGTTTGTGGGTTCTGAGCCTTTTGGCACATGATCATTAACATTAAAATTTTCATGGACTCTAGACATAAAATATATAATTGGATGGAGAGATCAACATACATGATGGATTGATTGATCAGACTCGGTACCATTAGTTGTCTTCTCTTGTAAAAGAAGCAACTAAACACACAATTTCAATCTCAGAGATGCACATGCACTTGAACTATTCAAAATCAACTTCTATTTGAGCAATAAATATGACCAAAGAAATGGCAACCATCCTACTCACGTTCTATATGGATGCTCAAAGTGGATCATGGCTTTCACATACCTATATGATAGTTCAAAGGGGGTGTCAATTGGATTGGATTTGGTCCAACCCAATCTGGTCCAATATGAGTTCATTGCAAATGGATTAACTCCAATCAAATCCGATGAATACTTTGGACCTTTTGGACCGGTCCAAAAGATCAAAGGTTTACTGAGCTGAGCATGAAAATTCGGGAGGCAAAGAAGGCTATGGTCTTAGCTGGTTGGACTTGAAGTGAAAATGACTGAAGGAGTTTGTGATGGGAGCGCTTTTATCTTTCCTTTTATTAGAACCAAATAAGAACAAATTGGTTATTTTTATCATTTTACTAAGATTATTAATTTTACACAATTGTTTCTTTTTTGAATATATTTGATATTGCAAAAATCTTAGCAAACTTGTAATTCATATTATGGCTTTGTTTAAATCTTTAAAAATGTGAATAAAAAGTGGGAAAATACAAGGTTATTAATTTTAATAAATTCTTAGTTACTAAAGAACACTAATTAAAAATTTGAAACATTTGAATTTTTATATTTACATAGTTGGATCAATTATCAATCCCATTTAAGATAATCAACCACTTATCAACTTTAACTTGTTCTTGCAGCTTTCTTCAAGTACAATTGTCATCTCCCTCGATTCCTTCAAGGGTCTATGTTGATTCTTCTATTGAATAAATTATTTTCTTTCTTTTTCCATTGGAGATATCATCTAAGATTTTTTTTTTTTTTTCTTTTGTAGGTTACTATCAAACCCCAATCTCCCCGCATATAACTTGTGACACATGGTATCTTCTTACTTTTATTTGATCCATTTTGTAGGGATTTTAAGTTCTCAACTCTTCATCGTATTTCTTTTTTGTTTGTTCTGGTTTTTTGAACATGCATAATCTGTTTTTTCAGGTATTTTATGATCTAGCTTTTCCAATTGGTTTCGGTTCTCTACTTGGATTTCCCCTGCCATTTTTATTCAAGTATTTTCTTGCTACATGTTCAAGTTGTCTTAAGATTTGTTGCATGCCTTGTCTTTGTTTGGTTTAACCTTTTCAGGTTTCTTAGTATAATTTTGCTTTATTTAGAAATGCAAATTTGTTTTCCAATCTTCATTTTCTCAATTTAGTTAATTCCTTCAATATATATTTCACTCAGAGAGTTGAAAATGTTCAATTATCCATATATATATATATATATATATATATATATATTCTACAAGATAAGAGATCATTATCATTGTCAGAGTTTATTTGGTGTGTGTTGCTTAGTAAACATTCTCCATTGGATAGGGGCTTTATTATCATTGATGTTTCTTTCTAATTGCGTAGGATATAATTCTGTTATTGTAAAATTTTATAAGTGCTCCATTGATGATAGTTTCATATGTTGAAGACATTGTTCCACAAACAACTTGTTGGTTCACAAGATAAATATCATGTTTGATGACTTTGTAAGAAGGTTCCGTTATGATATATAAAAAAATTTATATTTCTTTTGGGAATTATACGTTTAATAACATTGTAAGGTGGTTTCTGTAGCATATAAAATTTGCATTTCTTCTCTTTGTTATGTAATATATATTTTTCATAGATTAACTAGTTCATTCCAGTAGAGACCTGGATTCGAATCTTTGTTCTTTTTTTATTCTCCCAATTACTCGGTATTATTTGCCCGTGCTAGTATATTATTTATTATATAATCTTAAAGGCCAGAGGTATTCTTATCGGGTTCAAACCAATAGATCGGATATACCATTTATCGAATCTGATCCGATCTGTTTTCAACGCTAAAACAATGGAAAATGGACTGGACGAAGGGTCTACAAGATGTGAACTCATACTTGGTCCATATGATACCCTGATTTACGGTGAACGATGCATTTTTAGGACAACATCCACTAGTCTGATTTACGTTGTACATTACCAAGAAGTCATTTCCTCTAATTCAAGATGGGGCCATGACAGTAAACGAAAGGTTTTGATTTACTTGTTTCACTTAAGGCTTAAAATTTTGATACGATATGCTCGATAATAGCATATCATATCGTATATTTCAAAAATAAATATGGGATATGCATGGAAATTGAACGTTTCATTTTTTTCATGTGTATCAAAAAAAGAAAACTAAAAAAGTTAAAGGGGGAAAGCAAGTTTCTTTTTTCTGAAATAATCCTTCTTTTATCCCAAATGACTATAAAACTCAAAATTTTATTCAGAGTGTTAGATTTGAAAAGCTTGCAAGAAATAAGTGTGAATTGTTATTTTTTTAAAGATTTTATAAATTTTGAAAAATTATGATAAAAATAGGTATTTTTTTTTAATTTTTTTATAATTTTTTTATATTTTTTTATTAAATATTTAATTTTATGTTGATCTACATTTCTTACATTCGAAATCACAGTTTTTTTGTGTTATTGGTAGATTTATGAAAATTTTATGAAGATATTTGAAAAAAATATAAATTAACAAAAATTTTGAAAATGTAATTTTTTCTCTGCCTATAAAGATGAAATATGTTTTAGATCTATGGATTTATCTATCATATGCATAGAGCAATTGAAATTTCTTCTTTAATATTTTTTTTATTTTTTTTATATTTTTAGAATTAAAAAAAATTAATTATATTTTGTCATTTGATCACAACAGTTGAATAAATTATAAATTTATGGATGATCTATCATATCTATAAACCAATTGAAATTTATTTTTTAATAATTATTTTTTATTTTTATTTTTATATTTATAAAATTTAAAAATAAATAATTAATTAATTATATTTTTATAATTTGATCAAAATGATTGAATATATTATAATTCATAATGATCTATCATATCCACAAATATATTGAAATTTCTTCTTTAATAACTATTTTCTGAATATATTATACCATGTTATTTGTTTTTTTTTAACTTTTGAAAAAAATGGAAATGAATAATAAATGTTAATTATTTAAATAATAAATAATTATTAATTATATTTTCACATAGAAGTTGTGTCAATGCATTTCATGGTTGGATAGGAGAGTTGGGTTTTTTCCATTCCATAAAACATTAAAATTTAAGAATTATAATTTGGTATAGGATTTTTAATGAAATTATAATTAGCTACAATATATTTCTTCATAAAATCATTAAAATATATTAGTTTAATGTGTATAGACCTCATTGAAGTCTTATATTTATTGTTGTTGATGTATTTTTATGATTTATTAAAGTATTTATAGTGTTCCCAAGCGTATCTTAGTTTTTCTCCAATATGCATTTGTATCTAAAGCGTATCCCAATATGTCTCTTAAAATTGCCTTTTCAATATACTTGGCATTTTTCATATTTTGAACTTTGGTTTCAAGCTACGAAACTAAATGTGGGCAAATAGGGCTGTTCATAAGAAGGCCCAACCCAACCAAACCGACCAACTTGGACTGATCCAACCTGAGTCAATCGGGTTTTCATCAACACGGGTCGGTTTCGGGTTGTACAAATTCCTAAACTGATGATTCGGGTCGATTTCGATTTTCACACAAGAAAACCGAAATCGATTCGAACTGAACCGACTTAGTTCCTAATTCAAACATGAAGTTCCAAAGCCCATTAGGCCACCTAGTTTTTGAATGGTTGCAAGAAACTTTGGATTAGTGAATAGTGATTAATGAACAACTTTTGTGATTAACTTTTCATTTAAATTTTATCATAAGAGATGGTTGAAATGATGTTCAATTTATGATTGTTTTTAAAATTAGCAAGATTTTATGAACTTAGAACCGAAAACGACTCAACCCGACTAGATCGATTTCGGTTTCTATGTCAGATAATCCGACCAAATCGGATTGGTTGGAAAAACTACAATAAACCGACTCAACCCGCCCCATAACAGCCCTATGGGCAAATGTCTGTTGTTTATGAGAGATTCGATTCCTTAGGGGCAAGCCCGTACCCATAACATTCCAACCACCTTTTACGACCATTGAGAATACCTTCGGATTCTCTCAATTTTCTCAACGGAAGGCTACAAAGGCTGTTAGGGACCGAAACCGAATTCCGCTTATGAGTTATGAGGTATTAAAATCTTCTCCTCACATTGACAAATACAGTAGATATTCTCAATACACGCTGAGATGTGCATGTAAGGCGGTTTTAAGGCGCATTCTGTGGGGGCAGATGTTAACTCGTAGGATGGATAGAACCAGTTATTGTAGAACACGTCATCGTTATCGTGGGCCCAATATTACATGGTCTGTTGTGATTTGCCCAGTATTACGAGTAGAACTATAGGCGATTTGATCTCAAAGAAAGGTGGCGGTTGCACTGCTGGGGAGAGGCCAGATAGACAGATATTTAAAGTGGCTCGATTTCCGGGAACAATCGATAAAGTTACCAGAAGCATAAGGCGCCTATTTGTGCGCCCAGGAAGAACGAACGCGCAGAGATCGACTCGGGTCTGAGGGCAAACATGTCTTCGTTTACCGACGCGTTCGGTCAGGACGGCGACGAACCACGACCAGTCTCTTCCACTCGCCCATTCGACGATGATGGCTACATAGGCTATGACCCTCGTCTCCCTTCTCAGCGTTTCGACGCGTTTTCAAATTTCGCTGACAACGAGTCCGTCAAGGAATCGGTCGATGACTCGTCGCCAATCTTCAACAATCCTTCTTATGGCGCCGGCGACGATGTATTTACTTCACAGCCGATCCCTGAAACTCCATCTCCGATCTACGGCACAGGAGGTGGATTCTCGGCTTTCTCACCCGAGTCTAACGGAAAGGCTTTTGATGACGGGTTTGCTCCTTCGGATGGGCCGATCCTGCCCCCTCACACGGAGATGCAGCCGGAGGAGGGATTTGCGCTTAGAGAGTGGAAAAGGTGTGCTCGTGATCTTTACTTTTTACCTATTGAGATTGTTTCATGTGATTCACAATTTGGTTATCTTTGTGAATTCTGTAAGCAATCCCGTAGATCTGTTAGATTTTCATCATTTACTTTTTGAGCTTCGACAACTTTCATTTAATTTCCTTTAGTTAGGGTTTTAGCAGTTCATTGTTCAAATCGAAATAATTGTCTGCCAATGATGGACATATATAGTGTTATTAATATCACTCTCGCTCTTGCCTTCTTATGTAACCGAGCTTAAATTTTGAAAGAAATGATGGACTTCAGATTGGTTGCAATATGATGCCTTCGCTGAATGAACATAGGCTTCTCTATATGCATGCAAGATCTTGTTTATTAAATTGTCAATGCATCTTCTGTTATGGTGATAAACTGTTGTCTACTTCTTACCGATAACTGCTGTATATTTCTTCGGTTTAGAGAGTATTTGTACATGGCAACGCTTGAGTTTCGCAATTTGACCTTTGATTCGTGGTTACCCTTTCAGCTAGTAAAATAGTTTGTATTTTCTGAGCTGGAATGTGAATTTTTTAAATCTTGATTTGTTTTACTTCATACAAATGTTAATTATTATCACTCTGTATCATTGAGTTCATTTTCTGCATCGTTTTCACAATGTACAGGCAGAATGCAATTAGACTGGAGGAGAAGGAGAAAAGGGAGAAAGAACTTTTGAACCAAATAATTGATGAGGCGGATGAATACAAAATTGAGTTCTACAGGAGGAGAGTGATTAATGTCGAGACAAACAAAACCACTAATAGGGAAAAGGAGAAGGTAACTATAGATCATGTTGCTTATCTGCAGGTTTGGTAGCCTTCTGATGGGCTTTCTTATGTATCGCAGTGACTTTTTTTGTTGCTATATGGATGGATAATTTTAGTTTTTTACTATATAATGGCAATACTTGCCTTGGACTCACATGCGGACAACCATTGACAATTTTACTCCGTTTAATTTTCACTCTCCAATGTCTCCTCTGCTCTTGATATATATACTTTACTGGTCAAGTCCATTTGTAGTTGGGGACGGTGTTTTAAAAATTAAAAGTGAGAGGCACAAAAAATTGCAAGAGATTTTAAATACCCGAGACATGAGGTGTGTGCCTAAACAAAGTAAGGTGCAATTTAAAAAAATGTAAAATGAAAACCTGACATATAAGAAGACATAAATCTGGAACATAATATCAAATAAAAAGCACATATAAGCGGCCATATGACAATCATAACCATATTTCATAAGAGTCAAAGTTCAATCTATCCATGAAAGGTAATGATCCAAATTTGTCTTTGTAAAGATATCTAAGTCCATAGAAGACATAAATATCAAGCATGTTCAACATTTTAGTAACTTCAGCAGTTCAAACAGAAAAAGAAACTAGTGAAAGTTTTTCTAGAAGTTAGTAGGCCATCACAATACAGTATAAAACACATAGTGAAATATATAAAAGTGATTAAAAAAATAGTAGCACATGTCTATTGCCTAGGTTCCTTTGTGCCTCAGCCCAGAAAGCACCTAGGTACACCTGGTGTTTTAAAAATTTCTGGATGATGGATCAAAGTTTCAACCATCCAGGTTGAATGAGTCAGACCATTAAAAAGGTTGTTTAATCTGACGATGGAATGCTGTTTCCGCTGCTTGAGTCACCACCATAACACACATACTCTCTCTCTCTCTCATCTCTTTGTTGTTCCCCTCTACTTTATCTCACTGTTCCTATCTCTCTCAAAATTTATTTGACTTGTGTTTTAATATATTTTATCATGTTTACAATATCATAATATGAATGGTTGAGTGTTGAGTCTGTTGACTGGTTTAAACCACACCCATTAATGGTTCAAATGATTCACTGGTTTGACCATCTGGGTTGATGGTTTTGGTGAAGTCAATGGTTGTTTCATCTTGCTATGTTTGGTATAAACGTAGACTTGTTCTTTTCCGGGTGATGGGTCAACTGGTCCAATTGTTTGGGTCAACAAGGGGTTGCAAACACTGCATGCTATGCAAGGATCCTGTCAAACTATTGTTGTTTGGATTAAAGTGGAGCTCAAGTATCAAATTGTGCCTCGCCTATGTGCCTAGGTGCACCTTTTAAAATGGTGTTTTTTTTCCTTTTTTTCTTGGATCTGTGATCTGACAGCTTAGGCAGTGGGCATAATGGGTTCAGCATGTTAGAGTGAACATTGTCAGTTCTTATCATAATATGACAGGGTGTAGTCTTACTAACACCTGTCACATGGTCAAACCAGTGTTTTATAACCGTTGTTAACACGAGAGGTTGAATGATTCAATCCAACACCTGGTGTCAATTCATGTTCGGGTTAACCCCAAACCCAGAAATTAGTCAAAAACTGGCTTGGTCAGAGACCCATTGATCCGGGTCATTGAATCATTGCCCCGCTTGACCTGGACAATGGGTCACCCCGGTCACAGATTACATTCTATATATTATATTAATTATTAGGTCTTATTTTTTTTAAAGATATCTATGCACGTTTCTATGTATGGAGGGTCCATGAAATTATGTATTTTTGAAAGTATTATATATAATTATATTTTGTGCATATTAGTATATAACTATATACATATGTGCAGAAGCTTCTAGAGACCATAACTTTGCACTTGATGTTTGGATTAGTTTTATTTTATTTTTGATGACTTTTTGCAAAGCACCTTGGCATAGTTTTTTTTTTTCTTCTAAAAACAATTTTTTTTCTTCAAATCTTAATTTTATCATAAAAAATTAAACCTGAAATAAAAGGTAATGATGTTATGGGTTTTTAAAAAACTGGGTAAAACATGTTCCCTTTGGGGATATTTTTTTTTCAAGTTTACAAGTTTAAGTTCTAATGACTAGAATTATGCGAGAAATTGTCCAATACACGGTGTAGTATATTGATGATGGGGGTTCAGACACCAAAAATGACCACTTTTATATTAAAATACAGAGGGTCATTCCATTTGATGGTTGATTTGTTTTCCAATTAAGAGGGATTCTCTAGCAAAGGCAACTAATTCTTCAGGAATTTAAGTTTCAAATGCCACTGAAATGGAAACATTAAGGTGGAAGTTTCATGATCATGCTTGCTGATTTGTGGATTTAAGTCTAGTGATCTATCTCTAATTTTTACGTCAGAAAAGGGATGGCTAATTATTTTTTATGCATCAATCTATTTGTAAGATACAGAAGTTAGCTTTTCTGTTGGAAGTATAACCAATCAATGAAGCATGTAAATCTCATAGCTGTTTCTGGGCACACCGTTGCTCTTGTATAAAGGGATGGATGTCCTGTGATCTTTAGGTGAATGGTTTTGAAGCAGCTAATGGAAAAGAACATTGAGGGTGTTCTGAAATGGATGACCTTTTTGGAAGCATTCTAGGTTTTTAAAGTGAAGGATACTGAGAGAACCATAAGGCAGCATATAGAATGGAAAGTGGAAGAATTTTTACCTTCGCATATACCAACAAAAAATATTTATCTTGGCATAGACTGAGTAGTGGATATGACAAGTCTATGTTTTTGAATCTGGATTTGAAGCCGATTTGGTCAGATTCAGACAATTCCCTAAATCCATGGGTTGATTGGCTTTGGTTACTGTAATGACCTATTTACGTTGGATCCAGCAGTATTGAAGAGAGCTTTGTTATTTACTAATATCTGTTGACAAGACATATAAAAAAAAACTGTTGACAAGGTAGGAGCATATTCCCCTCCTCCCCCAAGGTTTCAAGCAAGATGAACTTCGATATTTTCTCCTTGGATAAATGACCATCAGGTGTTGGGGGAGCTTTTGGAGATGAGAATTGGAGATCTTCAAAGTCCAAGGGACCTAATTAAGGAAGTTGTGTGGCTCCAGGCTGAATTGCTCTTTCAGACAGGTTCCTAGGTTGGCTTATACACTGCTAGATGATCTATCAGAGAGGGGATGATTTGGAAAACACCAACTGTGGTTGCCCTAGTTTGGTTAAGCCTTTTCTCCTTTGTTCTTTGTACTGGAGTCCATGATATCTCCTATAGGCCAATGGTGTTGCATTTCTTTCTTTATTTCATATTACCATTCAAAATTATCTAAACATATACAAAGAGCATGATTAATCAATTGGTCAAATCTAGATTTTTCAAAGACAATCTTGCCCGTCCGATTCAAAAACATTATTTTTGATAATATTAAGAATCCAACTGTGGTGCTTGGAAAGCATAATGTCTAAAAAACTTATAATCACTCATTCACTCACTTGGTATCATAAATGTGGTAACCAGTCAGCTGGTATTCATCGAAATTCAACCCTGGGGGGGGGTGGGCTCTGGTTGCTCAAAGTTCTTCTGGCATGGCATCATAGATATTGCCTAATAATGGTTACAAGTTACCTGTCAAGAGAAAGTTATTATTGATTCTTCTCAAATTTTGTCCTTTATGTAAATCGTATGCTAAGTATTATCTTTTTTAGTAACATAGTATTTTACTCTTGCATTACAATTTTCTAATGAATGGTTTAGTGCTGTTATTTACAATTTTCCCCTTCTGGATGGATTATGTAACTCCATCCTTTTGCTTGATCTTATATGGTGGATAGCTATGGTATGATGTATAGATTTGCATGCATGCATTTGACTTTGCTTTCTTTTTCTCTCTTTACTTCAAATAACAATGAACCTACTGGAATTAAGAGCAAATAAGGAGCAGAGAGAGTACAAACGGACAGTAGAACTACCCAAAAACCTGAGAGGCCATTAACCGCCCCCACTACAACAATGACGACAACCAAATGAAAAGGGATGATTCCGATAAAAAGCCCCTAATTACAAATGGGATAAAAGCCCTTGTATGAACACTATTTTTGGAATCTAGATATACCACATCTTAGCAATAATATTTGGCAAATCATTGTCTGGCTTAGGCATCAATTTCAAGCCATCAATTTCATAAAGATGTTTAGCATTCTTGCCCAATACAGGGTCTTTTTGACAAGGTAATATTTTTAGCAGAGGCCCCGTAACTCAATGTTCATCCAGCAGATCACATTGTGAGAGTTTCCCACTACTATAAGCTGTCATAATCAGGGGTAAAATGATTCTGTGCTTCTGAAGAAGGGCTAAAATCTTGGCTCTGATGGGTCCACTTGTTTCTTCATTCCTTCCCCCTCCCAAAAAAATCTTAATCTTATGGAAATTGCTAGTTGTCTGGCAGAAAGCGATGATGAAGCTTTGCAGCAACATGTTATCGTCTGGGTCATTGAATTGTTATTGACTTGCTGTTTGGGCACACCTATGTAAAAGTAAATTGCATTTTTTTTTGAATTGTCACTGATTTTTTTTTTGTTGCTTACAATGTTATGTGGTATCCATTTGGCTGTTTAGTTATTCCAGCAACTATTGGCAAATTCTGAACTCGCCAAGTTACAGTTTTATTGGATTATTTTGATTTTCCTTCGTTCCATGAAATTATTCTTGTACAAGTCAACACTTGCATCATTTAGCTACAAGCTTGGTTACAGTTTTCTGTCATGGAGGCTGCATTAGGTGATTAGAAATATTGCGTGGATATTGTTCATTTAAAGGATAAGATGATTGCAAGCTATACAAGACATCAACAGGTGCTCAAATTATCAGGTATATATTCCTGTTATGCCATCAAAGTGAAATTGATATGATGGTGATGGCAAGGAATAGGTAGAAAAGGATTAATGTTGTAGGAAGCTAAATGTTAGTCTTCTATAGTCAAGGTGCATGCCGGCATTGAGGGGTTGTTTTTTTTTCTTCTTTAATGTAGTTGTACATTTAAAAGCATGCATCTTTTGGTTCAGGGATGGAATGTTTTATATATGAGCGGTGGACTCCCTGAAACTCAAAATATTATATCTGATATGCAAGTCATGGTGAGATCAGTTTCACTAAATTTTGTGCTCTTCTTTATCAGCTATTTCTGGCCAGTCAGGAAAAGTTCCATGCTGAAGCAGACAAGCACTACTGGAAGGCTATTGCAGAGCTCATCCCACATGAAGTACCGGCTATAGAGAAGAAGAGGGGGAAGAAGGATCAGGAGAAGAAACCTTCTATCGTTGTGATTCAAGGGCCAAAGCCTGGTAAACCGACTGATCTCTCAAGGATGCGCCAGATACTTGTGAAGCTCAAGCACAACCCGCCTCCTCACATGAAGCCTTCTCCACCTCCGGCGCCAGGACCTGCCAAAGATGCTAAGACCGGTACTGCTGCACCCCCTAAGGCTGCAACTGTGACCACTGCCCCAGAGGCTGTGGCTTCTGCTTGATACTGAACTTTCCGGGTCTTAAACAATGTCCTTTGTATGTTGAAAATTACCAGGCTGTAAGTCAGTACCCTCTAAGAGTCTCGAGCTTGTGTATTTGGTTTATGTACCTCATTTCTTAGTATGCTAGCGCTGGTGTAGCCGCAGATGTCTACTTGGAACATAGTGTAGAAAAGTAGGTGGGTCTATTGTTATTTTTTTTTTGTTTAATGGGATTTTGGTTCTATGCAAGTATGCATGTTGTTTTGTTCCATTCATTTGTTTTCTTGTTGGTAATCAGTTAATCACTGGCCACCGCAACTTCGCGAGTATATTGTCAGTCAGTAGGTGTTAAGGTTTTTTCTTGCACATGATCTCTTGAATTGCATATCTCAAACATTTTATCAATTAGGAATTAGGGCAGGTTTAAGGGCCCGTGCAGAACATGAGAACTTAAGGCTCTGTTTGGGAAGAGTGTGAATGCCGTTCTCGTGCATATGTGCACTTGGTTTAGTTTTGCACTTTTGCTAGTGTTTGGTAAGAATGCATTTGTGTCTTGATAATGACAGAAAACAAAGATTTCAATACATGTTTGCATTTAAAATGAGGGCAAAGCTTAAATAAAAAAGATCGATGCAAACCTTTGCATTCAAAGTTAAAAAGGTATCCATTAGGCTCAGGAATTGGGTTTCTACTTGTTACATCAACTTTACATTTAGATGGACCAAAATGCACTTTACATATTTGTATCTATTTGCATTCTTCCCAAACATAATAAGCTCTTATGGATTTGATCATGATTTAGGTTGCATTTGGTATTTTTTATTTCAACAATGACTTGTCTCCTTTTTGTTGTTAAAATGCTCATATGAACACTAAGTTTTTAATTGCAAAGGAGATTAGTCCTTAAAATAAGAAATGCCAAATGCAGCCTTAATGTGGGGATTCGAATTGAGCCGAGCTTTATTAGGCTCGATCTCGGCTCGCGAGCCTCATAAGCCGAGTTTTATTAGGTTTGATCTTGGTTCGATTAATAAACGAGCTTGTAAATTGGGTTCAAACTCGGTTGAAATGGAGCCGAGCTGAGTAGTTTGTGAAGAGCTTGGCTCGGTCCCATCACTTTTTAAAATGGACTAATAATTCCCCTATCTTAGTTATATCCAACCAAGTCATTTAAAAGTCTTTTTTGTCCTTATTAAATCATTAAATTTTCAAAACAGGGGAATAGTTTGAAAACAGAAATTAGAAAGTGCCCCTTCAAATTTCTATCCTATTTCAAGCTATGATAATTGAAACCGGGCAACCCCATCCGCCTACTTGTACTAGTTTCAGGTATATACTGGGATGTGTTTCAATTTTTTTTCAGCACTTTTACGACAAGTTTATCATAGTTTCTTTGATATTGGAAATATTCGATGATTTTTTCACATTTCAGATCTAGGGTTGCAAGGAAAGTTTGGCTCTGCCACTTTCTTGAGAATATGAAAGATATGTAATTAATGCTCATGGAAACTCAAACTCAAATAGGGTTTTTATTTTGGATATAACTCAATTTGGATTTAAAATGTAGAACTCATTGTGAAATGTGCTCTTTCAATTGATTTTCACAATTTGTTGACAGATGACAGGTTTGGCATTAACAATTTAATATTTGTTTTCTTATGTTCATACGAAATGTTATAATCTTAGATTATGCAAGTTGATCTTTACATGTTTAAAGATCCATTTGTAAAACACCCAAATTCCAATTTTGCAAGGTTCTACAGATTAAATTTTGTTTGCATCGTCGTATCTTTCAATGGTTTCAACTTTCATCGAAAATATTAGAAATAAAGACAATCATATTGTTTTGATATTTTTTCTTGCTTCAACATGAAAAGGGCAAAAATGGGTTTTCGAAAAAAAATTAATATCATAGATAAGCAAATCTTAATAAATTACTAATTAAAGATGCTAGATAGTTGTATGCCCTTAGCTTCAATCAGAATTATGTACATTATGAATTTATTRTAAATGAATAAARTAYWCATTTGATTCATRTTCCTGTGGTGTGTTTCTGTGTAATACCCTTAAACTGGACATTTAATGAGACTTGTGTTAGTTTAGAATGTTCACATCCATTGGATAAGTCTAGGGAGATTTATCCTGCCAAGGCTGACACTGGTGTGCGGCCAACTGTTAGGGTGGCTTGTCTCAACTACCAGGGTGAGACCCAAAGCACATGCAGTATAGGATTAATAGAACCTTTGAACCGGACCAGATTTTTAGTATTGCCCTGGACCTTGGAGATAGATGGGCAAAACTGGAAAGTTACACCTAACCCCTA